GTTCTTCAGTCTAGTTGTGGAGGACGTTGCTTCACTGGCCCAAGTTGGCACCATCATTGCACTCTTCCCGGGCGAGGCAGATCAGTCGCCGGCTTCTGGATGGCTGCTCATGGCGGCTGCTGGCTGCTCACGCTGGCTGCTGGCTACACACGGTAGCCCATGGCAACCCACTGCAGCAGGGGCTGCAGACTATGTTGTCATCGGCGACTCACAGCAGCCCAGCTCCAGGTTGAGCTGTTGTTCAGCATCTTAGCTGTGGAGGGCAGTGTCACTGGCCCTCACATGTGGGATCTGAACCGGGGCCCTCTGGCATCCCAGGCCAGCTCTTAACCAATGCGCCACTCGGCCGGCCCGTGAATTTTAGATCTCTAAAGTTTTATAAAAACAGATGGCATCATGGTTTTTATCTGTTAACATGACATTGGATAGCTTCCAGGTTAAAATTGTTTCCCATTGAAGTCACAGCATATTAAAGGTATTCAGGCAGTTGTATCAATGAAACCATCAACCTTTAAGACTATGGGCCAATTTGTGCTTGATTGTAGCCATTCACTGATGGCTACATTCTTAAACTTCATTGTGTAAGGAATAACCCCGGGAACTTGTAAAAAAATTCCTATTCCTGGGGGTACCTTCACTCTTCTGGCCGGGGCCTTGGAAATGTGTATTTTGGAAAAGTACCAGGTGTGTCTGATATGTATTATACCTAATCTCTCTGGATGATGAGAATAAACTCAAAGTTAGGAAGCTTTCTCTACTTGTGTTTGAAGACTTAGAAGCTTTTAGGTTTTAAAATCAGTGGTAGATGAAATTTCTATTATTACCACTAACCTTAATCGCTTTTTCTTCCACTGAGCACAGATGAAATGGCTTTGTGGTAGCGGTTCTCAAACTTTACTGTGTGTCAGAATCACCAAGAGGGTGATAAAAGTTTCTGACTCAGTAGATCTGGAGTGAGGCCTGAGAACTTGCATTTCTAACAGAGGTCCAGGTGGTGCTGAAGCCCCTGGTCCAGGGACCACACTTTGAGAGTGACTGGTTTTTAGGTAGGGCCCACACTGCAGGTCAAATATGAGTCACAGAGCCCTGGCTTCATTCTGAGCAGGTGATAAGCACATGCTAAGCACTTGGGAAGTGGGTCAAACTATAGAAAAAACAGATTCACACCTCCAACCTCAGGACTGATGCCAGGCATATGCTTGATGAATGGAAAAGTGAATGGAATTGTCCGTGTTACTTAAAACTCAAATGCATTTATGCATATGAAATTTGTGTATGATGAATACTGTTGTGTTTTTCTTGGCCTAGCAGGCACCCATTTTAACTTCTGGATTGTAATCAAACTCCCTGAGAGTTGTGGCTGTGCTTTACTTCTCGGGCTTTCTAGCCTATATATATATATATATATAATTGGTACTTAAATACATGTCTGGTACCTAATTTCAACATGACAGACTGAAAGTGACAAAAAGACTAAAATTCCTCAGCTTGTTTTTTTCTTCTCTGTAAATGGAAATGTCTCTCTGTTTTTTGGAATTGTTTTGGCCTCAGCATTTTGCTGAGTGTATGTATGTCTCTGTGTGTATTGGTGTTTTAAATGACTTATAAAATGTGGCTCTTTTCTAAAGAAAGATTGGGGAGTCATTTCCCTTTAGCAGAGAAAGTTTTATTTCGGAGAGAATGCTTCAATTGCAGTTACTACTTTGGGAATGTTCATTCTCCACCTACTGCTCAGTGTAGTTATCTAGATTGTTGTCAGAAATGTCCTGTTTTACTTGTGACTTCCTAGTAATGTTTTATAGTGTTTGGGATTTGTCCTTGTTATTAGATGTGGGCTTCACAAAGGCAGTGAAGTGGGTCTTAAGATACTTATGGTAGGTTTATTACCTGTAAAGGATGTAAGAGACATGCTTTGCACCTAGGTACTTAAGGTCTAGTTGAGAAATAGGTGGAAACAAGTAAACAGTAGGTTTAAATAAGAGCTCAGGACAGTGATGGAAGAGAGATAATTAACCATTGTATCTGATACACACTGAAAAAGCTAATAAATGTTTGATGATGATGGAAGAGGGAAAGAAACCACAATAGACCTTGGCAGAGAAGATGAAAGTAACTTGTTTGGCCTGGGATTTGGAAAAATAATACATTTGGCCATGAGGTTACTCTTGCAACATTTTATCTCTTTGAGGGAAGAGTGTAATTATACCCTGGGAATAATTTTAAATGCTGTTTCTTAACCTGAGAGGTTTACAGTCTCTAAGAGGTCAAGGCCAGTTTTCAGAGGGGTTGTGGTTATATTGATGACGTTGTGAATAGTTTTTTGAGAGTAGCTCTGTGAAGAAGGCATTAACTTCAGCCTTAATGTTATTCTTTGATAGCCTGTATTCTTCCTTCCAGCCTCTTTAACATTTACCATAAATTGTGAGTCATAAGAACAAGTAACGAGTCTGGATTCCTTAAGAGCTGCTTAGAGTTAAGTATGTCTGCAAGTCCAAGAGCAGAAGTAGGAGAGTGTGAAACGGGTTTAGTGGATAGTCATAGAGGTCTTCTGGGAGCATCAAAACAGAAAGCTTCTAGGAGCAACAGCTATGGAAGGTTTATCATTTTGAGATAAATTACTTTAACCCAAATGTAAACATGAGTTCTTGATTAACCTGTGTTTTAGCCAAGCAGTGGGGGAGGCAGGTGATGAACTCATTGTTTTTGGGATTGTGTCATATAAAGGTATAACGAAGAGGCAAAGAGAGGACTAGAACGGTATTTCTTCACGGCCAAAACAATTTCTTTACTCTAAGCTATACAGCCACACAGGAAGGTTTTCCATTTCTTTTAGGAAAAGATTGCAAACCGGAAAGCTTTAGGTTTGGATCTGTATGTGCTCAGAATAACTAAGCCAGTAAGAGCCTTCTCACTTTTTAAATCAGTGGGAATTATATGGGATTTGAACTTGTGGAAGCAGGAAGAATAGCAGGAAATAAGTTATTTTTCATTTTGGGATAAGCAGACATTTAATTAGTAACCAATTTCTAAAGTTAGTGACTTTACTGTTCAGATTTGCAAAAATAGAAAGTATGTATTATCAAGCTTGCAAGCCCCATTCCGGGACTGGAGTCAGCTGCAAGCTTCGTTCTCTTGGGAAAACGCTCCTGCAAGGGCAGGCGGCAGAGTGGAGTGGCGCTGGCCAGTTCCTCACACACCCCTGCGCCCCCGGGTTGGGAGCCAGGACAGCTGTTCGCAAGTATTGTCTTTGTCCCAGCATGTCGCCCCAGGGTTTGGGAGGCTGGTAGGGCATCGCTCTTCACCCTTCGCTCCCTTCCGCAGCCCTCTTCTATGGGAGTTACCAACCAGATGACTGCACTTCCTTTATGGTTATGTGCACTTGATGGGAAAACAGCTGCCCCAGGGAATTTTGGGGTGTGTATGAGGGCTTTTCTTTAGGAGGGAGTGTTGCCTAGGCTGCCTGGATATGAACTCAAGAAGTCCAACCTGCTGTGAAATAGCTGGAGATCGGTCAGGGCTACAAAGCTGACATTGCAGTTCCACAAGCCAGGCACTCCTATGCCCCTCTGCCCAGAGCCAAGGGCCTGGGACCCGCACTGGGATGCTAGAGAGCAGGGGGCGTCGGGTGAGTGTCCGGTGTACTTGGGCTCTAGCCTGGTGCGTGCAGGACCACGTGGCAGGAGGGCTCCAATGTGCTGACACCCCACTTGTTGTCTTTGTGCCCCCTGTGGCAGCTGTCACCCTAGCCCTGCTCACTTCGCGTTGGCAAATATCAAGACCGTCTGGGAGCCTAATCCCCCCACCGCCTCAGGCCCTGACCCTGCCACTCAGTCATCGTGGGCAGCTACCTGAGAATGGTCATGGCTGCCCTGCACCCCTCCGCCCAGATGCGCAGGTACCCATGACCCAAGCCCGCCCGTAGCCAGCGGATCTGGAATCAGGGCCAAGTCACCCACATCCACCAGAAGAGCTGGGTACGGATCCGACCCCTGCCCACCATACCACCTGGCTGGTGTTACACCACAGTCCGGGAGGGCCATGGTGCCCGAGGCTTTGAGGCGCTTTCCCAGCAGGCCGCCCCTCAGTACTTTATGGGGCTGGATTTTTCCAGCAATCAGGAGTTTCATGAAGTGGTGGTTTTGGAGTGCTCACAATCCCTGACAGATCTGGAGCCTGGTGACTATCAAAATTGCCCCTCAGTGCAGAGTGAGCTTATACAGGTGTGCACCCAGCCAGGAGTGCCCGGACCCCTGTACCAAGGAGACCGTGCTGAGAGCCCTCAGCGGATGCAAGAAAGGAAAAAGGAAGTTTGATGGTTGACCACTCTGCTTTGAGACCCCCGACACCAAGAGAAGGAGGCAGAGCTGGGAGTGCGGGCCATCTGCCTTCAAGCCCATATGGAGAACTTGAGTGATACTTTCGTTTGTGCCTAGGCCTGGGCCTCTGAGAAGATGACACTGACCCCGGGACTGACCGCCACCCTCCCTGAACCTTCCCTGCCTGCTGCCTGCCCTGCTGTAAGGACTCCACCAGCCCTGGCCACAGGCACAGCCTCGGCTGGAGAGCTGGGAGGGGAGCAGATGACAGGGCCTGATGACCCTTTATGTCCTAAGAGTCAAAGCCCTGTCACCACCCCCTCCTGAGACTCCAGCCCACAGTTCTTTTACCTTAGTGAATCCTACTCTACCCCACATAAGTCAGTGACACCACCAGGTTAGCTTCTACTCCCCCAGCCAGCAGGTCTGACCAGCACCAGCCTTCCCCTAGCCTGCAGAGGCCACATGCAGAAACACTGCTGAGATCTAACCTGTGCTGTCGTCCTGCCCACCCTCTCTGGCCTTTCTCCCCGGACACACTTAACAGGAAGGCCTCTTTCTCCTGTATGCCCAGTTGCCATAGTTAAAAGTTGGTTCTAATTTTAAATATTAGGTAGCATTATTTAAAAAAAGAAAGTATGTATTACCTTGTATCTAATTATCTGATTTCCCCTTCTTTTCTAGGAGGTGTGATTGCCTACATCAGTTCTTCCAGCTCGGCCTCCAGCCCTGCCTCTTGTAACAGTGAGGGTTCTGAGAACAGTTTCCAGTCCTCCTTCTCTTCTGTTCCATCTTCTCCAAATAGCTCTAATTCAGATAACAATGGTAATCCCAAAAATGGTGATCTCTCCAATATTGAAGGCATCCTGAAGAATGATCGAATAGATTGTTCAATGAAAACAAGCAAAGCCAGTGCACCTGGGATGACAAAGAGTCACAGTGGAGTGACAAGTAAGTTAGTTTTCTAAAGGTTGGTGCCATTAATTGTAGGTGGGGTTCACTTTGTCAACTTTTCATGTGGGACACCATTATATTTTCACTCCTTGCTGGGTAATCATAGTTCAAGTAGATAGGTAAGAAATAAGTGATGATTTTAAAAGTTACAGCCTCATAACTGATTCTTGCCACAGAGCGAGATAGGTGGTTATGTGCTGTGCCTTGCCTTGTTTCCTCTAGGGTACCCCCTTTGCCACGTTTTCATAGTTATCTTTCTCCTGGACTCGTAGTGTTGAATCTGTTTCTAGAACAGAATACGTATTGTGGGAAGGGATTTGCTTTCATGAAGTTGAAGCTAGGGACATTTGGGATTAGGAAGTAAAGCAGGATTGGGTTAACCCGATGAGTAGTGGAATTTGGACCCCTGAGTGAGTGTGGAGGTAAGATGGACAGGTATAGGGGAGGGCCAGGAAGGAAGAGGACCTAGCTAGTGCCCGTAGGTTTCTTGAACAGCCTATGGAGATGCAGTTTGCACCTTTTGTTGATCAGCTTCTCTGCCTCACTTTTTTTTTTTTTTTAGAAATTTTATTCGGGAACAGTGTGTTTTTCCAGGACCCATCAGCTCCAAGTCAAATAGTTGTTTAAATCTAGTTGTGGAGGGTGCATTTCCTTTGCCCATGGTGGAATTGAACTGGCAACATTGGCGTTATGAGCCTGCGCTCTAACCACCTGGGCTAACTGGCTGCCCCTCTGCCTCACTTCTTAATTCTTATCTAGGAGAATTGTTTTCTTAGTTCTGGTTGCATACCTGGTTTTAGATTTATAAAATTTCAAGGTATGTTTAAAATCACCCGGAAAGGACAAGAACCAGCTTTCTATTTTTGACAGTCCACAAACAGTGTTTAAAGGAAAACTTAATGTCTTTTGATTTGTTAATTTAGTATAAAGATTTTTCTTCTATATGATGAAAGTAGATGTGTATGTATTTTTTTTTTTTTTTTTATGGCTGAGCCATCTTCCAATTGTTGGCAGCTCAGCTCAGGCCGAGAATCGAACTAGCATCCCTGTTGCTCAGAGCTCGCACTCCTGAGCCACTGGGCGGCCCTTGTATCTTTTTAAAGTACTTAACAAGTTGAACAAAAAATACGAATTGGAAAGAAATGTTGATGGTTTTCTTCTATCGTTTGACTTTTGTGTCTCTTTGTGCCTTAGAATTCAGTGGCATGGTTCTGCTGTGTAAAGTCTGTGGGGATGTGGCATCGGGATTCCACTATGGAGTTCATGCTTGTGAAGGCTGTAAGGTAAAGCATGCTTTTGTTTTCTTTAAACTACTGGGATTCTGGGATTTAAGAAATTGGTTAGGTTTGCCAGCTTCCACAGTGGATTACCTGGGAGGAGAAGAGAAGTCAGCTGCTCCTCTTAAAGTCTTAAGCATTTTATATAGTGTATGAACTTAACTTGTTTTGAAAAATATATTTTTAATTCAACGTATTTCTTTTTTCTTTAATATTTTGATAAAAATAAATTTGCTGTCTCACTCATCCAAGTATACAAATGCTTATTAACGTGTCAGGTGCTGTTCTAGGTGGGTGGGAAACAGCAGGGAACAAAACTGACAAAGCAGACTTTGAACAGGTCTCATCAGGTATGGTGACATTCTGACATGTCAGACACTAGGAGTTGGGAATAATTCCTAGATACTTATAAAAATGTGGTATCTTTGGAAGTAATGCCAAGTGAGTAAAAGAAACTTGAGTATAAATTGAGTGCTTGGGAAAGCTCATTATATTTGTAAGTTTAGTTGAATGTTTCTTAAGCGTGCCCATCAGATAATTCCAGGTAAGATCGTCTGTACCTCCTACTTACTTCCAGAGACTCTCTCCCTCTCTTTAAATCTGGCACATTTTTCCTGAGTATCAAAATGAACATGATCAAGACACGTACTCGTGCTGTTCTCTGACTGAAGACCAGAAGCAGGAATCCAGTTTGGCAGGATATGGTGGGCGAACAAGATAATGAATATACATGATGAAAAAGGAAATATTTTCTAGGGTAGCTCTCAGTGAATTGTGACTTTGGGAGCTCTTAATGGCTGGGTCACTTAACAAGACTAGTCAGTATTTTATATAGATGTAGCTCTTTTCCCACCATTTAAAACATTCTACAAACACTTTTGTCTTTTTTCCTCAAAAATGTGAAGTAATTGTAGAGCAGTCTTCATTCTGACTTTATAGCTAGAGAAACCAAAGTATAAGCAAAATGAGCCTAATTATGTATTCTTGATAGATACACATACCGTATTTCCCATGTATAAGACGCTCCCATGTATTAGACGCACCTTAATTTTGGGGCCTGAAATTTGAAAAAAAAATAACATATTACATAAAGTTATTGAACTCAAGTTTTTTGTTTTTTTTTAAAGATTTTTATTGGGGAATTGGGGGATGGGAACAGCGCTGGGGAATTGGGGAAGGGGAACAGACAAGTTGCTGTCATTTTGTTCTTCAGTCTAGTTGTAGAGGACGTTGCTTCACTGGCCCAAATTATTGGCACCATCATTGCGCTCTCCCCGGGCGAGGCAGATCAGTCGCCGGCTTCTGGATGGCCGCTCATGGCGGCTGCTGGCTGCTCACGCTGGCTGCTGGCCACACATGTCGTTTATGGCAACCCTCTGCAGCAGGGGCTGCAGCCTGCACCGTCGCCGGTGACTCATGGCAGCCCAGCTCCAGGTTGAGCTGTTGTTCAGCATCTTAGCTGTAGAGGACAGTGTCACTGGCCCTCATATGTGGGATCCGAACTGGGGCCCTCTGGTGTTCCAAGCCAGCTGTTAACCAGTGCGCCACTCGGCTGGCCCGAACTCAAGTTTTATTCATCATAAAATTCATACAACTCCTCATCACTGTCAAAACTCCCAACCATTAGCTTGTCCTCATCTGTGTCTGATGATGAATCAGTCTTCATATATTGCCTCGTCCTCAGTGGGAAATGCAAGTAAAAAAACTACAACCACTGTATAAGATGCACCCAGTTTTTAGATCCCAACTTTTTTGAAAAAGGGTGCATCTTATACATGGGGAAATAAGGTAATTGTTCTATACCCTCTTAAAGGTGTGTCTGGCTCAGATATTGTAGTGTCCAAGTATAGTATTGCATCAATAAAGTATAAAAATGTTGTATCTCACAATTACTAATATAGATTCATGAAATGTGTGGTTAGTTATGATATTCAAGGAAACGGCAGTTTAAAATAATTTGGGATTTGTGTTCTTGACTTTTCTGTTCTCCTCGGAACTATTAAGCTGGAGATCTTTAAATACCTATCATAGAGCATGTACTTAAATTGTGTAGTGAAGGCAGCTGTGTGTAGCCATCTAGTTGGGAACTGTCTCTTCTTGGATCATTAGTTGGCCCGTGGGTGTGTGGTGTGACATTTACCTGTGGCTGACAAGCAGCCAGGAACATCTGGCACATATAAGTAGGCCTTGCTGGTGTCAGCAGGTAATGATCCAGGAAAGACCAGGCTCTACTAATGCGATCCTTAGTTCTAGTGAGGGAATTATAGCTATGGAACACATTTTTCTGTCAGCTCTTTAAAAATCAGTCATATTTCAAGAGTTTTGGAATTTGTATGTGATTAAAGTGTGAGCTGGAAAATGTGGCTGCAGGCAGGGGCTGGGAACGGAGTCAAGTGTAGCACGAGGGCTCTTCAGCGAGCACCAAGGCTCTCCGAGGGAAGCAGCGGAAGAGTTTTGTTTGGCTAGTAGGTGTAGGTGCTTACTGATACTGGTAAGGATGCAGTTAAAGTCTATGTGTCAAGGTTATATTTCTCTCTGTTCTAAGCCAAAATGATTTCCCAGGTGTAGCTAGTAACATATTGGATAGTTAGGCGTGGGGGTTGGGTGCTTACGAGGAGTTGTCTGGATGTTTTTAAATGAATGGGTATGTCTTCCTTTGTTCTTAGGGTTTCTTTCGGAGAAGCATTCAGCAAAACATCCAGTACAAGAAGTGCCTGAAGAATGAAAACTGTTCTATAATGAGAATGAATAGGAACAGATGTCAGCAGTGTCGCTTCAAAAAGTGTTTGTCTGTTGGAATGTCGAGAGATGGTATGTTCCCAGTTTAAAGAGCGTTCTTTCTTAAAGCATATGGAGCTTGGCTTTTATTCCTCAGCATAAACCAGAGCAATAAACCAGTTATCAATGGCCCTCTCGTGCTTAGGGTGAAGCAGATTTTAGAGAACACATTTTGATGCCTTGCAGGATGCCAAATTCATTAAAGTCAAATTTGAGCAGCATCACCCCAGAAACAGCTTTTGGCTCACTTCTTTTTTTGTTGCTTTTTGTAAAAAGACCCACTTTTTCCCCTATACAATTTGAAAGCTTTTTTTTTTCCCTTCATAAAAAGGATTTCGTTTTTCTTGATACAGGAATCTGTGGCTCCTTCTCCGTAATTTCTTAGCACTCCTGATGAACCCATTTCTCCTTATATGAATTATCTCTATCACTTTCTCAGCCCTGAGATGATAATGTGTTTTAGGGACAGATTCTGAGTACATCAAAAGATGCAAAATTGAAAGAAACATTAGGGGCTGGAGTGGAGGAGGTTGCTCAATTCTGGTGTGATCCATTCCCATGGAAAAAAAAAGTTGTAAGTAATTTGCGGGACGGTTAGTATTATCTGTGGATGACATCACTGGAAGATTTGACTCTTCTGCTCTGCTTAGGGAAATCATTTTTGGATAGTCTCATTTTGTTCTAAGTGACATGACAGAGGAGTAAGGGGTTTTCAGAGGGGTTAGTTTAGTAGGGCTCATTAAGAATTACTAAGAATGAACCTCATATTTTTCTAGGGAAGGGTCATTTAAGCAATCCCTTAGGTTACACTAACTCAGCGGTTCTCAACCTTTCACAGGGGTCGCATAAGACCATTGGAAAATACATATTTTCGATGGTCTTAGGAACCGAGACACAGCTCCTCTATCCGTCTCAGGCCCACATGCAGATACACCCACATACGAGTACCCGGCGACCCCTGTGAAAGGGTCGTTCGACTCCCAAAGGGGTCGTGACCCACAGGTTGAGAACCGCTGCTCTAACTAATATCTTACTGACATAGAAATACAGTATTGCAATAAGGAGCTTCTTGAATAACAGATTTCAGTGATGGGTGTTTTGAATTTTTAATTGCCTGAAAATTTTCTAGAGCACTATAAATAGAAATCCAAAGTTGATGGATATTGTAATTGCCCCACATGAATGAAAACGGCAGTCATTTATGAAGGAGCAGCAGTAGAGGTAGAGCGAAACCCGATGGAATTGCTTGTCTGATAATGTCGGCGATATAGCTAGATTAATAAGGCTTTCTTGCTGGGTGGCTATATTGAACTTTTATTACCTCTATATAAAAAGACTGGAAAGAAGGTGATTTTTTTCTTTCCCTGAGGGATAGGAATGTTGGAGACAGACATAATCTAAGACTAGCCTCTAAAATAATGGATGCCAAATGATTTCATTTTTATGCATTGATTTTAATTAAAATCCAGCAAGTTTATTTTTCAATAACTGCATTTCTGTTGAGCGTGGGTTTTTTCTTTTCTTTCTTTCTTTCTTTCTTTCTTTTTTTTTTTTTTTAGCTTTTCTTTTTGAAGAAGCCGGTAAAGGAAAGAGCAGATCATTTAATGTTGGGTCTTGAGAATAAGGTTACGGAAATGAATTGACAAAGGTCAGATGTTAAGGGAGTGGTGGTACCTACCAGGTTCTGTTAACGTGAATGGGTGTGGGGGTGTGGGTATCTGAATCTTATGCACCTTCTTAAGAACACTACCTTTAACAAGAGTGTGCTGTTCTTGTTAAGGTGCTGTGTAGTCATTCTGCTGGTCTGCTTCAGGCTGTCATTTTTATTAGTGAATGTTGTGTCTCTTTAGATTTTGCTTATAAAATACCCAAGAGATAGATCATCTCCTTAGCTTTGTTTTGGTAGAAAAATGGAAAATTCCCTCCTCCCCCACTTCCTGTAGTACATCAAAAACAACCTGTAAGTAAGTTTAGCATAATTTGGGCCAGAGACATTTAGATACTCTTTACTTGTATGCGTAGAAACCATGGCTGTTAGAGATCATTTTGTGTTATTCTTTTGTATAAATAGGTCTTCTTTAGAATATAGATGTTAAATATCTTTTTCTTCAATAGCTGTTCGGTTTGGTCGTATTCCTAAGCGTGAAAAACAGAGGATGCTAATTGAAATGCAAAGTGCGATGAAGACCATGATGAACAGCCAGTTCAGTGGTCACTTACAGAATGACACATTAGTAGAACATCACGAACAGACAGCCTTACCAGCCCAGGAACAGCTGCGACCCAAGCCCCAGCTGGAGCAAGAAAACATCAAAAGCTCTTCTCCTCCCTCTTCTGACTTTGCAAAAGAAGAAGTGATTGGCATGGTGACCAGAGCCCACAAGGATACCTTTATGTATAATCAAGAGCAGCGAGAAAACTCAGCAGAGAGCATGCAGCCCCAGAGAGAACGGATTCCCAAGAACATGGAGCAGTATAATTTAACTCATGACCATTGTGGCAGTGGGCTTAGCAGCCATTTTCCTTGTGATGAAAGCCAGCAGAATCTCAATGGACAGTACAAAGGGAGGAACATACTGCATTACCCAAATGGGCATGCCATTTGCATTGCAAATGGACATTGTATGAACTTCTCCAATGCTTATACTCAAAGAGTATGTGATAGAGTTTCGATAGATGGATTTTCTCAGAATGAGAACAAGAATAGTTACCTGTGCAACAATGGAGGGAGAATGCATCTGGTATAGTGAAATCAAATTTTTTTTGCTCACCTTGTATCACGGAATGCTTTGAAGTTTTTCTTTTATGTAGGGGATATACCAACTTCAAGGGTGGACGAGGGGGTGTCAGAAAACCTAAGGGGTTAACAGAATCAGTTTTGTGCAATATTTTAGGTCAAATACTTAATAAACATCATTTGTCGAATGACCTAATTTCACACAGAGGTAGGTACAAGCATGTGATTTGATTGATGCTATGCTTGGGGTTAGGATTTTATGTAAAATAGGGACCATGCAGAATTGGTCCTTTAATTCTCAGAAACCCCTTACAAAATTTAAGCGTTCTGATTAATCAGTACCTTACTAGCTTTGGGATTTTCTCTTAGGGCTGACCTTTTAGCTTGCCACAGTCAGTAATTCTTTGGTTTCTATGGAAGGAGTTTTCTTTAACTATTATAATGCAAAAAGGCCTTTGGATATAAAACATGGATGTTTTATTGTGTGAGAATTTAGGAATATTTTAATAGGCTAGCTTCTAAGGATTTCATCCTGTGAGATGAGTTATGTTATTCATATCACTCAAGTTTTCTTTTTTTCATCAAAGAAACCAGTCTACATGAAAGTACAGCATTTATACTCAGCCAAAATTTCACCAAAAGCATCAGTACTGCTACATTTCCAGTTTAAATCATGAGGTCCTTTGATAGTGCTTAGTATTTTCTACAGCCACGTAATTAAAATTGTCTTTTTAAAATAGTTGACTGTATCCAAATCCTTACGTTAGATTTTTTTGGTCACTTGCAAGTATTTGATGTCATGGATCTGAAAGGTGACCTTATATATTATTAGACTTAGTGGCTCCCTTAAGGAGAGAAGAATCTGTAAGAATTTAGGTTCTAATTTTGTGATATTCTTCATAGTTATAGAATCATTCCATTCCTGGATCTCCTCTATGAATTAAGTGAAAATTTTAAGGCTGATTTTGCTAATAGAGTTTACAGTGCATGTTCTGTAATCTTTTTAGTGTTTTTATACCTTCCTGCTTCCTACTATTTTCCTTCCCATTCCTCATTTAGAAGGTATACCTTGTATCTCTAGAAATTGTTTCCTGATTAAACAAGTGGAGTTCAGTGTTTATGAAATAAATGGGTAGGACCATTTTAAAAAAGTGAGGCATCTCACTATTTTTTCCTCTGAAATTACAACATTGTAATTGTGCCCATTTAGAAAAAAGTGAGTTTTGAAATATTAACTGAATGTGGGCTTGAGTTCTAGGCCTGTGACTTCTAGCTGTATTTGGATAAATCACTAAACCTGTTAAGAGTCTCATTTTCGCACCTAAGAAATGGTAATTTTAGTATCTGCCATAACTACTAATACGGTTGCGAATGAAGTAAATATGTATGAATTTGTTTGAAAGCCTAAAACCAGCCTAAGGTGGCAGCAGTGTTACAAAGTAAACTCTTAAACCTGTGCAATGGATTTTTAAAATAGCTTGTTATGGATCTGTTTTGCTTAGGCTGCCTTTGTCAGGATAACAAGTTAATTGCTATTTAAATTAGGTTGCTGTGAGGCTTTCTGTCAAAAGGCTAGTAGCAAAAGAGAAAGTGCTATTATCAGTAGTGCCTGAGCATTATTTTTTATGGTGGTGTTTCCGGTGATTCAGAGATGCCACTTTTGACATTTCTTTACCACCTCTCACAATTGAGTTTTTGTTTTGTTTTGTGCACACTAGGTTTGTCCAATGAGTAAGTCTCCGTATGTGGATCCTCACAAATCAGGGCATGAAATCTGGGAAGAATTTTCAATGAGCTTCACCCCAGCAGTGAAAGAAGTTGTGGAATTTGCAAAGCGTATTCCTGGATTCAGAGACCTCTCTCAGCATGACCAGGTCAACCTTTTAAAGGCTGGGACTTTTGAGGTAGGTTTTGTTTATCCTGAATGTGAATGAAGGGCATATGGTATTTTATTTTCATGCACAACTTCATTCTTTTCTACACGAATATTTATAGTCCAGAGGCTGAAACGACCAACAAAAGGATGGCCATGTCAGGATCGTGGGTAGAGATGAGGTACATGCAGACTGAGTTAGGACTTGAAATATAAATACTCTGCATGCCCAGCATACGCGCTCCGGGTGCCAGTGTTGCTTTCAGGGGTAGACACCCGTTCAACGCCTATCCTGGTGGTGACTATGTCAGAGCATGAAGGGTTACTAGAACACGGTTTTGTCTTGTAGGAGAATGTAGACTATTTTGGGGATGTATCACACGTCTCTTATGTGCCCCTCAGGTTTTCTTGGCCTCACTTCACTCTAGAATCCATGGCTCCCTTTTCGGCACCAGCATCTCTTGCTGTGATGCCTTCTGCCTGGGCCTGGGGCAGCCAGTGTTGCCAGCTTTAGTAGGACACGGACAGTGCCTCTCCTTGTGTGTCCTTAGGTGCCTCTCACCTGTCTGCTCCAGGGCTGCCCTGTTGCTGCTGAGGTATGAGAAGCTTTGGGCTTCCTAGGAGCTCACTTATACACTATTCTGCAACGCGGGGTGGTTGGTGGGAAGTTGATGTCTGGTGGGCCAAATCTGTGATCAGTGGGGGATGTATTTTCATTTCTCCCTGATTGGCCCCACAAGACTGAGCTCAGTTGTCCTTTGCAAGGACAGCTCAGTAAATATTGCTAATGTTGACTCCCCTGTCTCATTTCCTTTTTCCTCCCTCCTGTTCGCACATGTGCCAGTGCAGATCGCACATAAATTTGTGCCTTAGGTTATGATTTCTGGTGTGCCTGGACTAGAACAGAGAAGCCATATGTATTCATAAATGAAATAGCCATGGAATAATTCAAAAGTAACACCTATAGGTTAGGATTTTCAGTTTAAAGGAAAACATCATTAGACTTAAGATTTAAAGCCATGTCAGTGATTAAGTTCAGTTCACCCATTTTTGAGGTTAGGTAACTATGGCCCAGAGGTGTGAAGAGACTTTTCTTGGATTGCCAGTAAATTTATAACACAGTAGGGCTGGAACACAAATCCCAGACTCCACGACTTGGGTTTTTTCTGCCTTGTGTTTTGTCTTGGGATTGCGGTGTTCTAGAGCTAGCACCATCTTCATAGAAGGCTTGCCCTCTTTCGGATTGTCTTTGCTTGGGAGTATTGCAAAGGGAACGTGTTTTGTTCAGTGTTCCACTGATAGGAGACAAATATATGACAGATGTCACCATTTAGTATAGTGGAGGGAGTGCTGTAGGTAAGCAGTTGTTGACTGGTTTGGTTTGGATTTCAATTATAACTTGGTGTCTAGAACACTTTTACTGTAATAGTTGTTTTGTGTGTATTGTCTCTGGGTTATGGTTTCTTGAAATAGTCTAATTAGAGTTCATCTGCTGCGTTTGCCTTGGCTACATTTGGTGTTTTGATGTTTCTAAGTGTTACTGCATTGAAATATTGCTCTTTTTACTGGAGCATAGAGACAATGTGCTACACTTGGTAGCTTTTTAAAGAGTTGCTATAACGCCTTTGGCCAAGGCCCAGTTTCACATTTCTTGGCATTATTGCTTGCTTTAATTTTGTGTTTGCATTTCAGAATCTTTATTAAGAGAGTTTCAGAGTATCACAGGATTTATGTATTCTGCCACTGATGGCTAGAAGTTTATGATGTTCTTCTTGAAATATTGCTTTGGTAGCGAATTTGCCTTAAGGAAATGATTCCGGGTGAAAATAAACTCAGTTTTTCCTTTACAGCTTTTGTTTATATGTGGAATGTTTCTTAACTGACTTGCATACTGAGTTATTTCTTAGCATTGCTATTGAACTTCTCCAGAACACTGAAGTCTTTTTCTTTTTCCAGGTTTTAATGGTACGATTTGCATCATTATTTGATGCAAAGGAGCGTACGGTCACGTTTTTAAGTGGAAAGAAGTATAGTGTGGATGATTTACACTCAATGGGAGCAGGGGATCTGCTAAACTCTATGTTTGAGTTTAGTGAGAAGCTGAATGCCCTTCAACTTAGTGATGAAGAGATGAGTTTGTTTACAGCAGTTGTCCTGGTATCTGCAGGTAAGCCAGCTGCTTCCAAATTGTGCCACAGCCAGAATATAGTGACCAACTGGGGAGAAGGGGGCAGTGAATTAGGTTCCAGCAAGCTATCTGGAGGCAAGAAGGCCTTAAGGAAGATGGTAAACTATGTTAATCTGTTATTTTTACATAACTCATTTCTTTATTATCTTGACAGTAAAAGTCAAAAGTGCTATGTAGTAATAAAATGATGTTTAGATCTGGGCCTCATATTTACCACTCTTAGTCTTTAGCGCTTGTTAATAATTTTTTATGAGTCTAAATCATTATTTTATGGATTTAATTTTTGGAACATTGTGTATCTCCAGGTAGGTGGTTCTAATATCAATCTAAGCTTTAATTAAAATACTATGTGGGTTACTTGAAGAAGTTGAAAGTAGCAGTGTGGTTTGTTACAGCAGTGGGTGAATTGCGAGTTGCAGGCTTTCACCCAGCTTTGCCACTGCATTTTATGTGTGACTCGGCTGTAAGTAATTTTATCCTTTTGGGTCTCGGTTTTCTCATCCTTAGAAAGGTAGGGATTGTACCATGTGAGCCTGGCATAGGTTCAGTTACATTGAATGACCAAGATTTTGGGATCCTAACATTTAATGTTTATTTATGAGAGTCATTGATGGTGTTTCTCAATTTCCCTACCACCTTGCATTTATATCAGTTATTTCTGACCAATAGTATGTTAATTTAGACTATTAAGGCAGAGATTATTTCCAATAACAAATTAGAAATTAAGATCCAGTGACTTTCCTGGGGACATGTAAGTAAGTGCCAGCCACTTGTAGGTATCTCTGACTTTATTTGAAAACATTTGTTGAGAACCTTATAGTATTTCGACAGGACATACTTCAAGCTTCCCATTAGCTTCCCGCTGTGTAAATGTGCTAGGTACTGGGGAAGTGTAAGGTCTGGCCCTGGATTATGTGACTGAACTATATATAAATCAGTAGCTTAAAGAGAGTAAGTACTTTGTATATCGAAAAGGGCCTGTACGTCAGTGGTATAAAGACTTAGGCCATTGGAAGCATAATTTGGCTACCGTTTCTGATCAGCTCTCCCTGGGGAGCTGAAAATGCACTTATGATAAGGGAATAGTGTGGGAGGACGTGTCAGTAAGGCATACCTGTTCTCTCAGGTACCTTGTAATGCCTCTTATACTTTACCATATCGCAGAGTCTCTTGATGAGTGATTGATTAGTAATGGTTTGAGTTGACATCAGATTAATAAATTTATTACTGTGAAACTAAAGGTAATCCATACTTGTTAATTGCCTTATCTGATGAATATGCTTTGTGTGCTAGGTGCTCAGGGGGAGACAGAACAAGCATTAAGACACAAGCTTGCTCTTCAAGTATTTTATGTTCTTTTTGGAGAGACAACTAACAAAAAACTTTATATACTAAACTATGGTTCTGACTGAGGTAAATAGGAGTGATGGGAAGGAGATAAAGTCGCCTGAGAAGGCTCTGTGGGGAAGATGGGCCTGGAGCTGGAATTTGAAGGATGGATTATCAGGTTTTCCTAGAAAAAAATGATGGACCCTTGTGGGAGCACACGAGGTGGGGTAGAGGAAGGGGCCAGAGCCTGATGCGTACACCAAGGAGGCGGCGTACAGAAGGCTTGCGAGTTAGGGCAGCACCAGGTTATGGAATGACAGCTGTGGGAACTGAGCAGAGAAGTTGTAGCTGAAACACGGGGCAGTAGAAAGTCAGTGCCACTTCTTAAGTGGATGACTAGGCATTAACAAAGTGTTGCTTTACCATTGGTCCAGCCTTTTAGACAGGTGAGTCGTTAGAGCCGGAGAAGCAAGGTTGAGAGGCTGTTGAAATAACTTTAGGTTTGAGGTAGTGGAATGAACTCTTGGGAAATGTGCTGTGGCAGAGGCGGAGCTGGAGAAGGAAGGGACTATGTCCCAGAGGTATTAGTTCAGAGGAAGCGATGAAGGCTAGAGAGTTGGAGGGGAGCTCTGTGCTAGGAACTCTGCTATGTAACTTCATTTGTATTCTCCACCAGGAACATGATTTTTTTCTTGTTTTAATCTTTTGAAAAAGCCTTGTTTCCCAAACATAGGAATAATATGGGTTCTTTGAAAAATTAGAAAATATTAAGATGATAATATCACTACCAAAAAGCATCACTGTTAACATTAGGGGTCTCTCTCTATCCATTCACCTCTCCATCCGTTTATCCATTTGCCTGCTTATTGATATATGGTGTGTAAGAAATGTTTGACATACTAAGTGGAAAACACATTATAAAAGAGTATATGCATTCTAATTTTTGTTACGTTTATATATGAAGATATACAAGCCACACATATATATGTGCACAATTCCATGTATTTAAAAATATGTTGTTTTCACTTAAATATATGCTAGTGTTCATGTCGAATTTAAATCTTTACCACTTAAAAAGGACTCTGTTATTTTTAAAGCAGTGTTTAGTCCAGAAACTACAGAAGCGTATTCAAAGAAAATTCTCTCTTTCCTTCTTCTACTTCCGGCCTATTCTTCAGAGAACTAGATTTCTCACCATCTTCTTTTTTTTGTTCTGATGGTTGCCCACCCAGCTCTAAATACTGTGCTCAGGTATTAGCACTTTTTATTTTAGTAGATATAATGGATAAATAAAAGTATCCTGTTAGTTTTCCCTCCATTTTTATGTTTTATTTTTTCAGTTACTGTATTGGTTTTGATAATTTTAATATGCTCACATTCTTTGATCCTTCACTTTAACGTAGTCTCTCAGATAGCTTAGATAGAGCATCTTCTCATTATACGGGGGACTGTAAGTAGCCTCCTTTCTCCATAGCCTGGCTTCTTTTGCTCTACCATTTCTTTTCTATTCTCAAGAATTAGAACATTCACATTCTGTTTTATAGCTGTGATTATTTTCCATGCTTTATTAATGAATCGATTCTAAAAATTGAAAAGTAAAAAAATCAGTATTTACAGTATTATGATTATGTAAGTAGTACTCATAGTGTTCCCAAACTTGTGCCACCCAAAGGGAATGTTCCAAGTATCAGATAACAAATGGATTCTTCATTTATAGTCTCTGCTAATTGCTTAGACTTCAGCAGCATTGCAGTTTGTTTCATGTTTAAAATAGCTTTTTGTTTTTCTTGGACTCTATAGTTGCCTTCTGGTTTTTGTTTTGTTTTAGTTGTTGTCAGAAGAAAGGCTAGTTAATTTCCTGGATCTCATTATGTAATTTTATCCTCAAAACAGACCTGTGATGTGAGCTAGAGCATGTTATCGTCACTTTACAGGCAAGGAATTTGAGGAACAGAGAGGGGTTAAATAATTTGCCCAGAGTCACATTTTTAATAATTAGCTGAATAGGCATTTGAATTTGTATTAGTCTAGTTTCAAAGCCTTTCCATCATATTGCTTGTAACAGAACAGCTCTAGCTGCTTAAGAGAGAGAGAAATCTCAAGCATGATTTTTCCTGGAAGACTTCCTCAATTTTCCTGGGACACTGGAAGAATCTTGATACCGTGGAGAATAGGGGAATTATACCCGGAAGGTAAATTCTTTTTCAGATTGTGTGAAATGGTGGTAGTCACTTTCCATTGAAGATTAGGGACTGGCATGTAAGTGTGAGACTAAGGCTCATCTAGACATGGGTTTAGTTGTCCTCATTAAAGTATTTATTGAAGGAGTTTAACTGCCATCCTGTAGGCAGTGAATATTCATAAAGAGATTTGGTGAGGATACAGGCTTGGGAGAGGGATGAAGAGCCAGTTATAGAAGCAGAAGATGTATCATGACTTAACCTGTATAGTGTAGCATTCAGTGCATCATTTATAAGATGAATTTTCAGTTCAGTTTGTGTATTCTATTGTTACAATTTCAAGATAACAGTCTAGCTAGATTTGTAGTTACATTCTTTGGTCTTGAAATCATGAAACCCTGGTTTTAGAAAAATTAACAGTTTACATTTTTAGGTATAGGTGTCCATTTCCCTTAAGTTCTGAGTTGTATAAAGAAGCATAGGTTGTCCAAACACAAAATATTCTCTGGACGACCAACCACTAATAATAATAGTTCTAACTCAGATGTCCTTCTCCACTTATTGTTTGTTTCTTTCTTTGCCCATCTAGATGACTTGTTTGTGGGGATCACTGTTATTCTTTCATAGTTGTTGGTATTATAAATTACTGATGATACGATGCCAACCAATTATTTTCTGCCAAAATATGAGCTCCCTAAAGGAAGGAATTTTGGTTTGCTATGTTCTCTGCTAATTCCTTAACACCTATCACAGTAACCACCTACATTCAATAAGTATGTGGTGAATGAATTAAAAATTGCAAGCATGTTAAAAGAAAACAGTTACTTGAATATGAAAGGCAAGAGAGACTGTTAGAAGCATTATTGAAGGCTTTAATTAATTTTGCAAAGATGACTTAAGATTGTGTGACCAAAGTCAAATGTCAAGAAAAGAGGTCTTTTGTCCATTTAACAATTTTGCCTGAAAAATTATGACCCCCCCAACCAGTTAGTCAACATTCATTTATTTTCTTTTTCCATAAGAATTAGCATATAGTTGTAATAATAATCCAAATTTATTAAATGTAAGATCGACCTATTTTCATCATTTTTCTGCAGTTAGAGTTAATCAAACTTTTCCCCTTTACTATTAAATTTTAGTCCTTGTTCTAAGAATTTGCATTGCAAGTGGAGTTTTTCAGCTACCAGTTACAATGGAAGACTCCCTCAATCTCCTTGTAAAAAAATGAAAAAAAAGGGTGTAAATGGCCAGAGAATCTTGCCTCCTTGTAGCATTCTTTTTCTTATACAACTTCCCATATTTGGTGGGAGCCATTGAATATTTCTTGCACTCTACTGCCTCCTATTGTAAAGGGAAGAAATAGCCCTTGCTGATGAAAAAACTCAATGGGCAAACAACCTAGGTTTCGCTTATTTTAAGATACTTTCTTTTATTGCTGGTTAATCACTAATTTACTAACATCTGTATGATGCGCTTAATAAACACCGTATGTTAAATGAAAATGAATGCAGGTTAATATAACTAGGTATTAAAGTTACATAGTATATTAGATACCTGTCACTGCCTAACAAATTACCCTGAAACTCAGTGGCTTAAAAGTGCATACATTTATTTCTCACAGTTTCTGAGGGTTAGAAATATGGGTGTGGCTTAGATGTGTGCCCCTGGCTCAAGGTTTCTTAGGAGGCTGTGGTCAAGCCGTGGGCAGGGCTATGGTCTAATAAGAAGGCTCTCCTAGGGATCTCCTTCCAGACTTATTTATGCGGTTGTCGGCAGGATTTAGTTTCTTGCAAGTTGTTGGACTGAGTGGTTCAGTTCCTTGCTGGCTGTTGGCTGGAGACCACCCTCATTTCCTTAGCAGGTGGTCTACTCCATAGGGCAGCTTACAGCATGGCATCTGGCTTTGTGAGTGAGTGAGTGCCTAAGATGGAAGCTATAGGGTTTTTTTTTTTTGTAATCTAATAATTTGTTCATTATTAGTGAGTCAGTTGGTCTAGCACTCGAAGGGGAGGCGGATACGTAAGGTCATGGATGCCGGGCTGAGGGGATCACTGGAGGCTATTTTAGAGGCTACCTGCTACACATGGTAACATACGTAAATGTAGATATATTCTATATGAGGTAAAAATATATTTCTAAACTGCAATACTTACTTGCCAATTAGAAGCAGTTGAAATTAGCAGATGGTATTTAATTTAAAAAGTGAGAACCTCTAGATTTTTTGTTAATAAAAATACCTATGCACTAAAGAATTTTGATTTATCAAGTGTACTATGTGCTATGTATCTTTATAATGTGGTAAAGAGCTGCAAAAATTTGCCATTGGGATTTCTAAAACTTTGTCAATTATCTATTGTCTTTGTTCCAATGTATAAAACCTTGTTTTGAATTCACTGACATTGATGAACAAGAATTATATTTATATTTAATATTAATCCTATGTCCTCTCCTTCATATTTCCCTATTTCTTACTCTCCGTTAGATCGATCTGGAATAGAAAACGTCAACTCTGTGGAGGCTTTGCAGGAAACCCTCATCCGTGCACTAAGGACCTTAATAATGAAAAATCATCCAAACGAGGCCTCTATTTTTACAAAACTTCTTCTAAAGTTGCCAGATCTTCGATCTTTAAACAACATGCACTCTGAGGAGCTCTTGGCCTTTAAAGTTCACCCCTAAGGCCTTTGTTTATTTAAATATGAACTAATTATGCTAACTGTACATTTTGTGCTAAAATGCTTATTTATATGTGTATACAATATGTGGACATAGAAAAGACCTTTAAGACAATACAGGATTGTAGGCCCTCTCTGTAATCGTGCAGTAGCTGTTTGGATTGAGATTTCTTCAGCCATGATTAGTCATTGACCGCCTTTCCTTGATAGACCAGTCAGCTGTGTTGCACTTAAACTGGAGAAGTTACACTGAATTATAGTTACACTGAATGTTAGACTTTTTCATCTGCCAAAACCAAAAACCATTTTTGATCTCCCTGTGGTATAGATATAACGCACAATCACAAGCATATAAGGACTTAAAGATTAATCTTTTGTGGTAGAAGTTCTATTGTATGAAGGAAACTTGATTTCACCACAAGACTATTTGATCTGGTAATTGAAGACTTGGTAAGTGAGGAGAGTTCCATGTCTGGATTTCACTCTGCCGCTGTTCATGTGTATGATCCTGGGCAGATTAATTGGTTGTGGAAAATGAGAAGGGATAGTGTTCCCAATGCCCCACCTCACAGAGATACTAAAAAAATGTCTATAAAGCATATTTACCTCTTGGGAGATAGGCACTATGTAAATAAGGTAAAGTTTTTGTTGTTATAATTATTCATTGTAATAATCTTTTCTTACTTGTAAGCATTTCTGAGAAATCATTTCACAGTCCACACCAATCTATTCTTCAGGGTTCCTGCATATGTGTGGGGTGTTGTCCTGGCACACATATTCAAAGTTTATGGGTACATCAGATGCATAGTATGTGTACATAATATGTATGTGAATATAGTTATACATAAATATATTTCTTCACAATATTTTAAACTGTGAAGAACTTTATCATACAATAAACTTAAAACAAGAGGTGTCAGAAGACACAAATTAGGTGCATTTTACCTGTTGATGACATAATCATTGCTTTAAATGTTTAGACAGTACAATATTGGATTTATGCTCTATTTTTGTTTAAGCAACACTTAATGTAAAAGTGCAACAGGCAGTCGAGTCCAAATTTCAAAAAAATAATGTATTTTAGAGCTCATTTTTGGTTCAAGGTACTAGTTGTTTGAAAGTTCATTCAAATTCTTACCTTGTACTAAAAAAAGTTGCATTGCTGCCCTTTACACACATGCTGCAGCTTGATGACAAATATTTTTATTCTTTCTGGAGAACCAGCGTTTAAGAAAATCGTTTAGTATGTTGGTGCGCGCTTACGTGTGTGTGTGTGTGTGTGTGTGTGAGAGAGAGAGAGAGAGAGCGAGAGCGAGCGAGAGAGAGAGAGAGAGAGAGAGAGAGAGAGAGAGAGAGAGAAAACGCGTGCAAGTGTGTTCTGAATCCACTTTTTTTAATTTTTTTATTCCTAAATGACACTACAGGGATTTTGTCACATTAGATTTAATCTATAATTTGGAAAATCATTTAGTGTGTGACCTACAGGTTTAGAAATGGTATTATCAAAGACATTTCATCCACATTTTTAATATTGGGCTTTATTAAATAGATAAGATAAACCTCTGTTTATGGCAGTAGGAGAAATAGCCAAAGTTGAGGATTTTATGTATGTTTTTCTGTTTCCCTAGGAAATAGCAATTAATTGTTTTTTTTTTGTTTTTTGTTTTTGGTAAAGATTGCCTTCTGTGTAATTTTTGGATTATATAAAATTGCAAAAGTGAAAAGAGCCCGTTTTACTGTACTCAGCCTGTTACTTTAATGACATTTGAGCAGAATGCCTTATTTCGTAATCTTGTTTAACTTGTTGCTACGGGGACTTGAATTTCTGTGGCACTAGTTAAGTAAGTGAAAATCAAAGTTAAACCCTCTCATTATTAAAGAGGAAAGGTGATGGTGACATCTGTAATACAATATAAACCATAATTGTGATTTACCTTAAATAGGTGTGACTTTTATGGGATATACAATATAGTTTTTGTGAATTCTTGACATGATAGGATTATCTTTTTGTAATTTTTTTTTTTCCTAAGATAAATGCATACTTTTCTTCTATGGGGGATAGAAACAGCTTTTTGAAGTAATGCTAAAAGCCTCAAAGATCATGTTGATTCTTAATTTTTGCCTTTTGCATAAGCCTCTTTATAACATGTATCTTTAAAACAATTACTAAGTCTTTAGGAATGTATAACCAGAAGTATGTTAGTATTGCTTATAAAACCTTACTTAGGTTCAATATGTACACGTATACATCTATGTATAGATATATAGATTTGCATTTTGTCTTGTAAACTTTTATTTGAATGAATTCTTCCTGTAGGGTAATGGGAAACAAAATTAATAGTTCATATGCCACTCATAGCATTTCTATATTTGAAAATAGCCCAATATTGAAACTTCTAAAATTAAACCAGCAGCCTATTACAAGCACATTCTTTGATTGAGTCATTGGTTTTAAATGTACTCTATGTGGAGGAGACACCCAGTTTAGGAAACTTCTGAGTGGGTGGGACCCTGTTGATTAATTAATAATGTACTGTATTAAGTGATGCTTTAACTCTGATTTTACATTGTAAAGTTAAAATATGGGCATTATGTCAGCAAACTTAAGGGCATTATGTCAGCAAGCTACGACTTTTTTTTCCTGTGCTTTTAATGTATCTCTACACGATCTGATAGAGGATTCAAGCTTTTAGAGAGAAATAGCTGAGGGAAAGGGGAAACATCTTCTTGCGATGAAGCTTTTCCATGTGGTGATGGTTTAATTACAGATTAAAAACCTAGAAGGAAATTTCAGTGGGTTATGTGTATAGCTGTTGTATCTACATTTGTAACTTGATGAGATATGATTTATTTTATGTAAACATCATTGCAAAGCAAGGTGTAGAAGCTCAGCTAGATTTATTACTGTGCACGAGAGTAAGTAACTATCAATTATTCTTTCTCTTTTCCAATATAAAGTTTGCTGAATGTACAAGAAGAGTTTATCACTTAGGATATAGAATTTTTTTTAGGGGTTGGGGGGAGGGGCTCTGTCAGGAAATGACTTGTAAACAAAGATTGTCTTGATTTGATCTGAAACAAAACTTGAAGATATTCTTGAACTAACTTGGAAAAATAAAATGGCTGTTTTTTAAAAAATATGGAACTATATGGTTGACAAGATATGAATTAAATTTATTTTCTACAAACTGGTATTGATGAGGACATGGATAATACCTTCATGTTTCTGAAAAGTAATCTGTACATGGGGGGAGGGGATAATAAATATTTCTAACCAAGTGTGGTTTTTAGTACCTCTGTCTCGACGTTCTGTAAGACTGTTTATAATTTAACTTATCACTTTCCCCTGAGCATAACAGGATCTCTTATGTACATCTGTAATTCAGCATAGAGGAATGTCTATATGCAGAGCTTTTTATGAAAGAAGGTTTTAGAGTATAGAGATTGCAGCAAGGGTTGTTGCTGTTTTCTGTAATGACAGCGGATACTGCTTCACTGTATTTGATAAAAGTCGTCTTTCTGGGAAGGAGATGATGAGAGAGGAAGGGGGTACTTGATCTAGTCAAGAATCAGCCTTGGCCATGAATGGGATAAGGTGCCTCAGCAAGACCCCCCCCCCAAAAAAAAAAACACACAACCCCCCCCCACACACACACATTTTCCCTTTCCTAGTACTTGTGGCCATGCTGCCAAAGTTAAGGCAGTTACTTAAATCAGCATTCCCTGCTGTTGTTTCCTGGACCAGGAAAAGCCATTTTTCTGTGGATATTGATTGATTAAATACATTTGGGAATGCTGGGGTGAACAAAGTTGCTGAGACGTCTTTATGTCAGTCCTGTTGTCTGATGAGCGAATGTGAATTGTGAACCATTTAAGGAAGGGCTGAGCTGGATGCAGTTTTTCCCAAACTTCCTCCACCAAGTAACCCCCACTTTTTTTCTGTATTGAGCACTTCTTGGGGCTTCTTGGAAAGGGTGCTTTCAGGAGAAAATAACTTGTAACCCACTTTGGGTTTTGATCAGGATGTTGGTCATATCCTGTGGATTGTACAAATTTACATTGTATTTTGCACTGGTTTTGCACAGTATAATAGGAAACATTGAGCTCTAAATATATGGTTGATGGCAAACAATAGATTAAATTCCTTCTGAATTTTCGAAATGCTGCATGTGAGTAAAACAGCTAATTCACAGATCTGGTTTTAGTTTTTACACTCGGGCTGTTAAAATTCGTTACATTGCTTTTCTTAATTCTTAGTCTGTCTAAAAGTTGAGGAAGAACTATGGCTTGTGTCCTAGTAACCATGTCAGAGTTGCTCTTCACAATGTGAAAATCGGTTGCTCGGGGGTGATTTTCAGACACCAGGTAATCAGGTCCACTTAGAACACCTTTGGATCGAATGGGTGTAGGAACCATAAGGGCCGCCTTGGAGGAAGCTCAGATCTCCAGAATGCTTTCAATGGGGCACATTCCCACATAACGGTGAGGGGCTCACATGGTTGATCTCTAATTACAGATCCTAATGAGCATTCTCGCATCCCTAGGAAGAAGAGAAGACAAAAACCTATTCATAGGGTTTTTGCCACCATCACCTCTTTCAGTTGCCACCTTCTCTTGAATTTGAACTCTGGAGTTACTGTTCTTCATTTTTGTTTTTTTTTGGTGGAGGGGCATTAGGATTCTTTGATCCGATGTTTGACATGAACACAAAGTACTAGATGCTCTTGTTGACTTCTGGCAAATGGGATGGGGAAATAGTTCTTAGTAAAGTCCTTTATAGTAATGGTTTGATTTATTTTTTGTTTTGATTTGTTTTGGAGGATCTTTTTTTCCAGTGTATGCTTTTTTCGTTTTTGCCCAGGCTCTCAAAATTAGCATTCCCCTTACATTTTAATATTAATTGCTGAAGAGGGTAAGAACAGTGTTTAAAAAAAAAACCCTCAAATACAAAATACCTGCAGTGAATATGGTGTTCCTAAATTTTTTTCCTCCATTTTCTTACTAGTGTCCATAGAATTGAATATGATCTTCTAAAGTTTCCGAGTTACCTTTTTTGTCTTCTGTTTTTTCTTTTCTATTGTTTTTTTCTCTGAACTCTCCTTATCCTTAACCCCAGAAGTTTTCCCCCCTATTGCTTTGTTGCTTTGCTTGTAAATTTTTATCTATTTTCCCCCCTACAATAGCCGTTCCATTTCCTGTTCAGTTAAACCCAAGTAAGGTAGTTTCCAAGGTGGAAAGCACCTATAGTTTCATTCTTTCTTGATCACCTGTTTGCTTCTTATAATGGCTGTTCTTTTTCTAAGCTGTTTTATCTGACAATATTTTTGAGGAATAAACTGATGGTGTAGTTATTCACTACTTACACTTACTGAACATCTCTATCTCAGGATGATTATTTTTGTAATGCAAAATGAGGTTCCATGAAAATCCAGGCTACTAATCCACAGTGTTTTGGAAGTGGTGCGTTCGTGGAGAAGGTGGCCTCCAATTACAGCATCTTGACTAGTCATTACCAGCAACTGCTGTCCTAGCCGTGGTGTGCCAGATCCCGCTTCTAAGGGCTCATGAGGTTGGATTGTTAACATCTCCAGGAATTCAGGGAGCTGGTTATTAGAAACACAACCATTATTAAAAATTACTTAAGCTTACAATTCTATTTGAAAACATACTCAAAACTCATTGCTTCCTAATTATTTTACATTTTACGGTTATTTATGCTTTTGAGGTTTAGTACCTTTATTTTATGTGTATGGTGGAAATATTTCATAATGGCACGTTCCTGCCCCTCTCTTGCCAGCTCCCTGCTAAGTGATGGCACATTGGTGGCTCAAAATTGGCCGTGGTGGGATTATTTGTACCATGGAAAGCTGCAAATGCTATGGATTGGGGCTTAATTCCTTCTTTTGTTGATTGTCTTGGTTTAAGAAAGTGAGGGAAAACAATACACACTAAACTTAAAAGTGTTTCATGTCTATAGCTGTTAAACATTGTGAATAGCACAGAAAATTGAAGTCCAGTATTTGAAAACTATTACCTGATTCAGCAGTTACTGACATCACTGATAAGCCAAGTTCTGACATAGCTTTTATTGTTTCATTTTTGTTTTTTTATTATACTTAAAATATCAATTAACATTCATGTCAGAACTATCCTTTTTTGTCAATTGCAGCTTTGACAAAGTTAAAGGAATTCTGTGAGAACTAATTGGTTATATAGTGTAATTTATAGTAAAGAGTATAGCTATTTTATAAATTGTATACTGTATATCCTTTCAGTAAAAATAATAAATATGTACATACACACATACATACAGACAGACCATTTTCCTCTCCAGAGAGCTAAACGTTTACCAGCACACTACTATTACTTAACCCTAATTCTGTTTGCTAGATAAAGGAAGCTTAGGCGCAGAGAGTGTAAGTAACTTACTCATGGTCACATAGCTACTGAGTGGAGGCTTGGGCTACAAACCCAGGTGTATGGGCCCCAGTCGGCTCTCAACTGTTGTGCATCATAGAGGAGCACTGGGCTTGGGGTCTCCTTGGCAGAGTCGTTTTTAGTTAAGTCTACTTCGATCTGTACATATGTGGAGCTAATCCTCATGAAATTGTTTGGGAATGGGTTAAAGGGGCACCTCTTCTTTTATTTTTACTTTTTTTATTGTTAGTTTCAGGTGAACAGAACAATGCAATGGTTTTCCTTTTCACCCTTTGCACAGAAACAACCCCCCTCCCCCCATCTACTGCCCTCCCACCCCCGATATCATGCTTATCTATTACAATTCCATTGACTCCATTCCCACTCTCTACTCCACATCCCGTGACTATATGTATATATAATTATAGTTGACATACAATATTATTCAACATCAGCTTCAGAAATACAGTGCGGTGGTCAGGCCTCTACACCGTCTATGAAGTGGTCTCCCTAACAAGACATGAGACCATCTGGCCCCCTAAAATATATTTACAACATTATTGATTATATTCCCCAGACTGTCTTTTCTATCCCTGAGGCCATATTGTAGTTACCAATTTATATTGTCTCATAAGGGGCAGTTCTTACTCAAGGATTCAATACATAACAGGAGTGTAATGTTAGACCCTAACTCCTACATGAAATTCTCTCATCTGTAAAAAAAAGAATAAACTACTTAAAGTGGTTGCAAGACTAAATGAGATGTATTAAGAAACTCTTCACAAACTTGTAAAGCCCTATACAGACATTAGGAATTATTTTTTTTTCTGAAGTGCCGTAAGTAGAAGAGAGGAGGAGTCCCTGGGGGAGGGTAGGGGCGAGTGAGGTGGGAAACTGAGCACAGGCCTTGGAGAAGCCTCTCCGTGTGGTCAGCCTGCGTGGCTTGGGCCTTGACAGCACCTCAGGACTGAGTGAGGAGACTTACGCCACATAAGGCGGTGTGGTTCCTGGCTTAGGTCCTCAGCTGGGAACTGTACTGACAGTTAAGACTGACTGTGATCTTGATAAATTTTAGATTTTAACCCCTTACCAACGCATTATAGGCAAGTATCTTCTCCCATTTAATAGGCTGTCTTTTTGTTTTGTTGATCTCACTTATGTGTGGAATATAAAGAACAAAATAAGCGAACAATCAAAACAGATTCATAGATACAGAGAACAAACTAATGGTTGCCAGAGGGGAGGTGTTCGGGGGCTGGATGAAAAAGGTGAAGGGATTAAGAACTACAAATTGGTTGTTAACAAAATAGTCACAGGGATGTAAAATACAGTTTACGGTATGCAGTCAATGTTGCAACACCTATGTGTAGTTTCCAGCACAGCAGCACTTTTCCAGTTTTTGATCCTAACAAAAATTTTTGGTAGAAGTGTAAAAGAGTGTAATATTTTTTCATCTCTTCCCCTAAATTTTTAAAATTTTACTCTAATCCTCAAGGAAGTCAGGAAAATGTTTATCATATACAACCAAAACTTTCAATACTCTTAGCTGACAAAGTCAAAATAATTTTATAGTGAACATACAGACATCTTCCCACTGATATCTTACCATTAACATTTTATTGTACTTGTTTATTACATATCTATCCATTCTTCCATCCATCAACCCATCTTGGTTTTTTAAAAAACACATTTTTTAGGGGGGAGGGGATGGTAGAAGAGGGTAAAGGGGGTCAAATATATGCTGATGGAAGGAGAACTAACTCTGGGTGGTGAGCACACAATGGGCTATATAGATGATGTATTACAGAATTGTACACTTGAAGCCTATGTAATTTTACTAACCATTGTCACCCCAATAAATT